ACGGGAGTGTCGGGTCGCGACGCCAAGACCGGCCGGGCAGGGGCCGCCCACAGTGGGCCGGACGAAGCAACGCAAAAACTTGCTAATGCTAAGCAGCTTATAGGCGAATCATTTGGAAACTAGTCATGCGACCAATCCCACCAATCCCGGCGCCCCGCTCGCCCCTCTTTTTCCCCCGAGGATTTCCGCAGTATCTCTAGGAAATCCTCTCGACCCTAACTCTGGAAATCCCCAACGGGAACCGCCGCCACCTCGCCCACGCCTCGCGCGGCCCCGCACAGAGGGAGGGAGAGAGAGAGGGAACTGTACACTCCGCCTTTGCCCAATTATCAGTAAGCGGTCTCCGTGGGTGGTCACTAGCCGGGCCGGCCACTGCAGAGAGAGCGAGAGAACAGCGCAAGCCGAGGCAAGCCCAGCATCGGCTTCCAATTGTTTTGCACCTCACGTGCTAAAAATGCCGACTGTTTCGCGCATTGTTCTCGAGCCGTACTTTGCCAACTTTCGAGAGCGGCGATGTGCCTTACTGGTGGCCGCCGCGCCGCGCATGTCGATTGCGATTTAACAGCTTCGCAGGTTTCGATAGTTTGGCGATTGCGGGCAGCCGTTACCGTTACCCCGCGGGGGATGATTTTCGGGCCAAACTTTGCCTTTCGAATCCGGTGCTGCCGCGGTGCTGGGCTGCCGCCACGCCTGGCGCGGCGCCCGGCTGCGCCACTCGGCCGTGGCAACTGCTGGCGACAAGCGGTCTATATTCAATACCCGGGCAGTGGGGCTGCGGGCTGGCGCCCCCTCCCCACCGGGAGGAACAGGGCCCGCTTGGAGGAGGCGCGCGCTGCAGCGTCCGCATGTTGAATCCTGGCGGACAACAACTGCGTGGACACGCTGCAGCCGGCGGCCGCTGCTGATCGGGTTGCCGGGCTGCCTGACCGCAGGGCGGCCATCGGTCACGTGCGCCCGATGGGTTTTCATCCCATTAACGATGTCCGCTGCCTCGGCCTGCCTCGGCCTGCCTCGGCCGGGCAGGGTCAGCCACCGCGGCGGTGCAGGCGAGAGTGGTGCCCGCAGGCTGCCGAGGCTGCCGCAGGCCCGCACGGTATGCTAACAAACCCCCGCTCCATTTCACAGCCCATCACCCTCCCCAACGCCCCCCCCCCCCCCGAACGCCCCCTCCATTCGGTGGGGGAAAATGGAGTGCAGCTAGGGGCAGTATAGTTCAAGTCTGGATTAGTCAGGGGTCACAACGCGCGCAGGGGAGAGGGTCCGTGTCGCCGGGGGGGGGGGGGGGGGGTAGGAGGGGGGGTCTGTGATTGCTGCGGGTCCAGCGCAGCGCGTCATGGCAGTCACATTCACTCTCACGGAAGGCTGCATGACGTCAATGAAGCGAGAGCCGCAAGACGGAGGGGGGGGGGGGGGGTCTGATGACGGCGTGCCCGGCGTGCCCGCCAGGGCGGTGCCGTTGTGGCCCTCTACCTGTCGTCGTGCAGCGTCAGCGCGAGCGTCGCCCCGCCGCCTTTCTCTTTAAAAGAGGCGCACCCCCATCAAACTTTCGGCGCGACACCCTTGTTCATTAGTGGCCCCCCCCCCCCCCCAGCAGCAGCGCCTCGGCGGCACGGCGAGTCGAGAGAGAAAACAATGTCTCGAGTCGTCCTCCGCCGCGTCGCAAATAAGTAATTGAGTATTTCAACGAGCGGCGTGGCGTGCGCAGGGCGTGCCGCGCCCTGCCCTTGTCGCGCCGCGCCCCTCACAGGGTGAGCCTCACAGGGGCGTGGAAGGGTGGCAAAGGCCTCCAAGTCATTACCATTACCTGGCTGGCTCCTCCTGGGACCATTTCCCTGCTTGTCCTCGCAGAGGCAACTGCCCCCAGTGCCCCGTCCGCTGATTTAAATTGTTTTTTTTATTCTTCTGCCCTCAAGGGCTGGAGAAAGCAAAAGTAGACATGCGTCACGAGAAACGACGAGAAAAACGATGTCTGTAAGTTTTTTTTCTTTTCATTTTTTTAAAAAAGTTTGTTAGCATTTGAAGCTCCACTCGGGCCGGTGTTGGCTGCGTTGGCTGAGCTGCAGAATGTCGCGTCTGCTGACTGACAGCGCCGCCGCGCCGTGTCGCCGTGTCACTGTGCGACGGGGTCGACGGCCGCCTACCCCTTCCCCCCCCCCTTGCCTCTGCCCCGCGCGGCCCGCACTGCATGGTTTGGAGCGCGTCCAAATTCTCTCGAACCCTCTCCAGCCAGCCAGCCAGCGCCAGCGCGGCGCGGCTAGTGCGCCTCTCGCAGCCCCGCAGCCTCCAGAGGCTCCAGAGGCGTCGGCCGTCGACCACGGAGCGGCAGCGAGCCTGGCGGGGCGGACGACCACGGCCGGGACAGAGCCCCGCCCCTCCCCCGCCTCCAATCAAGCCGAGCTGCGGGGCTGCGGGGGAAACAGCCAAGTGGTGAGACGGGGCGAGGCCTGGGCGAGGCCGCCGAAAGGCACTTGGTGCCGTTGGCAGCGGAATATTCAGACGCAGCCCGCGCCTGGAATGCAAATAAGCCAACCGTGTTCCGCGCGACCCTCCGCCCCGCCCCGCCCCGCCCCGCCCCGCCCCGCCCCGCCGCGAGTCCTCCTCCGATACATTGGCGGCAACTCCGTGACCACGCGCGAAGTTGTTTGGCGCTGTTGTTGGAGGGGCCCGGCCGTGGCTCGGCCGTGGGGTCGTCGTCGGCTGCTCTGATTAACGGGGACGTTGCGCGCCGCGCGGCCTACTTTGTTTGAGCCACCCGGCCAATTCCAAGTGCGGCGGGGTGGGGCGGGCGGGGCCAAGGAAGCCCAGGGATTAAAAGTTGCTGCTTCGGACCTGGCTCTGTCCTGGCGCGTCACCCCCACGCCGCGCTGGCCGCGCTGGCCGCGCACCACGCCGTCAACCGCCTACCAAACAGCGTCCGTCCTCGTCGCACCTCGGGGGACGCGCGACCGCGGCGTGACGGCGTGGCCGGCCGGGATCAGTCTGGATTAGTAACTGAATCAACTTAGTGGCGCTGGGAGCGCTGGTGCGCCATGGCGGCTCGGCGGGCTGCTTGTTTGAGGCCATCAAATCGGGAAGGGCCGCGCATTCCGCGCTCGCGCGCTCCCGGGCGATTCCACCGAGAACGGCCAACGACCAATGGCGCTCGTGGGAATTTCGCCTCGAATTTCGACCAAACTGCCCGATTCGAGACAGCGGCCCTGCCGGGCCCGGCCGAACGGCATTGTTCCTTTTTCTTTTTTTGGAGCGAGTGTTGTTCTTTTGATGGCGCCCGTTGCGGGACGTTAGCTCGCGGGGCCTCATACTTTGCCGACACGGCCTCCGGCGGCTTGGCCCGGCATTGCTCTGGCTGAAGGACTGATGGAGTGCACGCTCGGGGGGGGGGGGGGGAGCCCCGAGACGGCCCCCCGGAGGACGACGGGACGGCCATGGCCGCCATGGCGGGCCATGCTCAAGCGGCTGAAGCTGAAACCACGCCGTCGTCGTCGTGAGGAGATTGCAGGCCGAAGATGCCGACTCCTTAATGTCTTTACGTTGGATTTAGAATAAGGCAGCAAAGCCGCAGCGAGACCCGAGTGCGCCACGACCGCCTCGACTCGACACAGGCACGGCGGCACGGCGGCACGGCGGCACAGCTACGACCTCGGCGTGGAGGAAGAAGGCTACAAATGTGGACCGTTTCTCTCCGTTTCTCTCGGCCGCGACCGCCACGGCGCGCCATGCCCCAGCCCGCTCTGCCCGCTCTCTGGAGGGCCGTGTGCAGCCCTGCAGCCGCAGCGGTGCCGTCAGTGGCAAAAAGAAGCAGCCCTGTCGATACCCCGCGACTCCCTGGGAGAGTCTCTCGCGCGCGGGGTGTACCTGTCTCTCTGTCTCTATCGCACTCGCGGGACGTTAGGTTCGACGGGGAGCGACCAAACGCTGAGCGGAATCAGTCGGCAGAAGTCACCCTCTTTGCGGTTGCAACTCGGAATGTTTTGGGTAGTATACCGTTGACTTTGAAGATTGTGCGTGGAAGCTGAGCGATTATTCGCTCTATCTCGTTCTCGTTCCACGGGGCTGCGAAGTAGCGTGAGTCACTCGGGAGGTGCTGGAGGGTTGCCGGGGGCGTGACGGGACGGCGCGACGGCGAGACGGGGGACCGTTTGGGGCTGCCCCGCCCCGCCCCGCCTGCAGCGACTGGCAACAAGCAGCCGATAAATTACCCCTCCGTTGCCATCGCCTTCAGGCACTGCTTCGCGGGCAGGTGGCTCCCAACCCTCTTCCCGTGCCGTTGTTTTATTGTATCGTTTTTAAACCAAATCAATGCCCTTGCTTAGTTGTGTCGCCAGGCGCCCAACCCTGGCCGACTCGGTTCGCTCGCAGGGTGCGCGATCTGACCCAGGACGGCGGCACGGCGGGGGAGGCGACGGCACCTAGATCGAGCGGCCTAGCCAGCCAGGCCAGCAAAGAAATACATGGGACGGGTGAGAAGCGCGGGAGATGTTCAAACTCCATCGCCTCTTCACGGGCTTCAGCAGCTGCCAGCTTTCTCAAGCTTAAATCTGGGGATTTCCAAACAAAGGCTCCGGTCTGGGCGGGCCAGGGCCGCAAGGGCCGCCGGGGCACGATCCAGCGCTGCTCTGCGAAGCTGGCGAAGCACGGTGCTGCTCAGGGTCCCAGCTTAGCTCGCTCCAAGCTCTGCCATGTCCCAGCCACGCTCCGGCCCAGCGTCGCCAGCGTCACCAGCGTCGCGACGGTGTTCGGAGAGGCGGGGCCGAGGCCGCTGGGGCTGCCAGGGCTGCTGCCTATTTGTTTTATTTTGCGAGAGGCCGCGCGCACATCGGAACTAATCATGCGAGGCCGTGTAATGGCGGGGATCGGGAGGATCGACCAGCGGCCGGGAGTTTCGCTTCCGGTCTGCTGCTCCCGGAGCGAACAATGTCTGTCAAGGACGAAGGGGCCGAATGGAGGAAGGGAAGTAATCAAGTGGAAAACAACTTGCCTTTGATTGAGTTTTTTTTTGTATTTATTCTATGTATAAATTACATACATTACACGACTCGTCAGCCAACAATTAAAGACAAAACAACAAATAAATAAGTCACAGACACATGTGACACTAGGGGAGTTGATCAGTTACACGTGGGCAAGGATTGTGTAAAGATCACTCCAAGAGATCACAAATTTAAAGAGATGTATTTATTCTATGTATAAATTACATACATTACACGACTCGTCAGCCAACAATAAAAAAACAACAACAAATAAATAAGTCACAGACATATGTGATACTGGGGGAGTTGATCAGTTACTCGTGGGCAAGGATCGTGTAAAGATCACTCCAAGAAATCACAAATTTAAAGAGATGAACGTTCAAAATTCAACATTACAGGTATTAACTAATGACTAATCAAGTTGAAAGGTACCAACAACACAGAGCAAAAACAAATTTCATATCTACGTACTTCACACGGTTTTGTAAAAATTCTCATTTCATTTTTTTTTGTTTCAAAATTGATAAAACGTTTGAATTAAACCGATGAGGCTATGGTAACCAAGGGTTCCAGCACTCCACTCGACTCTGAGAGCCTTTTTGTCCGCCACCTTATATTCGCTGGCCGCGCGGAGCGGCAGAGCGGCGCCGAGCCAAGATCAACAAGAAACGGCGGCCCTGTCCTGCAGTGGCGGGGATAAAAGGGCCGAATCGGATAGTGAAAAAAGGGGGAGGGCAAAGAGTCCAAGTGCTGGGTGCGCGGCCCCAGGCGGCCCGCAGGATTATCCCCACCTGCGGCAAGGTCCCGCACTACTTGGCCTACTTGGTGTGCGCGGGGACGGCGGGGACGGCCGGCACGGTCGGGGCCGGGACGAACACGAGGTGGATGGAGCCGTCCGCCGTGCTCTGGATGGGCGCGCCCAGGATCTGCCCCGACGAGGACAGCGACGCCAGTGGCGGCGGCTGGCTCTGGCTCACCGAGACCAGCTTGACGGTGGGGGCGGCGGACACGAGAGTCCCGGTGGGCACCGCGGGCTGCGCGTACATCACCTGCTGCTGGTCGGCCTTGACCTGCAGCGACACGAGCGGCGGCGGCGCCTTCACGACCAGCGGCACGTCCGTCGGCAGCGCCGAGTACCGCAGCACGTTGCTCTGCTGCAGCGGCTGCAGCACGAGGGGCGGCGGCGCGCTCTCCGGGTCGTGGTACGTCGGGCAGGTCGTCAGCGTGAGGATAGCGTCGTCCTGCGTCAGCGCGGCCGTCGTGGCCGTCGCGGCCCCGGCGGGCTGCATCACCCACGCGCCGTGCGCCTCCCCCAGCGCGGCGTGCTGCTGGGGCTGCTGGTCCGCGTGCTGTTGCTCCTCCTGGTGATGTCGCGGTTGATGTACGACCACGTGTTGCCGGCTTTGCTGCGCCGCTTCGTGCGCCGCCAACTGCGTCACGGGCTGCGGTGTCTGCGGCTGCTGCGGTGGCTGCTGATGCGGCTGTTGGTTGAGCGAGGCGTGATGTATGACGGGGGACTGGGCAGCCGGCGGCGGCAGGTACTGGGGTGATGAGGTCTGCGGCGTCTGCGCCACCGGCTGTGGCTGCTCCGGGGGTGGCTCTTCTGAGGGTGGCGGCGGCGGCTGCTGGTCTTCTGAGGGCTGCTCCACCGTCTGCGACTCCTGCTGCTGTTGCTGTTCTCGATCCTGATGTTCTTGATCCTGGTGCTCTTGATCCTGGTGTTCTTGATCCTGGTTCTGTTGATCCTGTTTGGCCTGCTTGGCTGTGGGCTCGGCGAGGTCAGCGGCGTACTCGGTGGGGTGCAGCCGCCGGCGGTGCGACTTGAGGCTGCCGCTGGTGGTGAAGGTCAGCCCGCACGTCTTACAGCGGAAGTTCTTCTTGATGTCGGGCGTGCACAGGTGGCGGCTCAGGTTCATGCGGTGCGGGAAGCGGCGGCCGCACGCGGCGCACTGGAACGCCTCCTCGTTGGTGTGGTAGCGCGCGTGCTGCATCATGGACGCGTACGAGTCGAAGGCCTTGCCGCACTCGGGGCAGGTGTGACCAGTGGCGTGGTGGCGCTGCTGGTGTAGCTGCAGGTCGCGGCGCCGCTGGTACCGCCGATCGCAGTCCGGGCACGGGAACGGCTGCTGCTTGTCGTGCTTGTACATGATGTGCTTCGTGAGGTCCGATTTGGCGACGAAGCCCGCCTGGCAGATGTAGCACTTGTGCGGCCGCTCCCCCGTGTGCTTGCTCTGGACGTGCTGCTTGAGGTTGAACAGGCTGGGCGCCTTGTGGCCGCATTCCGTGCACAGGTGCCACTTCCTGCTGTCCTGGTGGCTGTAGCGCAGGTGTCGCTGCATGTCGGCGTTGGAGATGTACCGCTTGTCGCACTCGGGGCACGAGAAGTTGCGCTCGTTCTTGTGCGCGCCCTTGATGTGGTACTCCAGGTTCTGGACGCGTTTGAAGGACATGCCGCACTCGGCGCAGACGAAGGGCCGCTCCCCCGTGTGCACGCGCACGTGCTCGTCGAGCGCGCGCCGCGTCCGGAAGGCCTTGTTGCACTCGGGGCAGATGACAGGGGCGCCGTCGTGGACGTCGCGGACGTGGTCGCGCAGCTTGCCGCGCTTGGCGAAGCTCGCCCCGCACGCCGGAACGGGGCACGTCAGCGAGCTGTCGTCGCCGCTGGCATCCGCCAACACCGTCTCCGGGGGCGGCGGCGGGTCGTCCACGTTGAAGTCGACGTCGACGTCGTCCTCGGCTGCATTGGCGTGCGCCCGGTGCACCTGCCTCTCGTGGCGCTGCAGCGACGCCTTCCTGGTGCACCGGAACGTGCAGGACGACTGCCAGCAGCGCACCTTGCCGTGCGCCGCGCCGAAGTGCACGCGCAAGTCCGTGCGGTCGTTGAAGGTCGTGGGGCACTTGTTGCACGAGAAGGGGCCGCCCTCGTGCACCTTGCGCGCGTGGACCTGCGGGCATCACCCGGCCATCGGGAACAATCAGTACAAGTGACGCAAGAAAGCCAAAACAAGAGCAAGCGGCGAAGCGGCGCCACCAACCTGCAGCAGGTCTTCGCTGACGAAGCGCCACCCGCACTGGTCGCAGAGGTGCGGCCGCTCGTTGGCGTGCACTTGCCAGTGCTGGCGCAAGGCCTCCTTGTCGGCACACGCGTGCGCGCAGGCCGCGCACTCGTACACGCTCGAGTCGTGCTTGGCCAGGTGGAGCACCTTGGCGTCCGCGTTTGGCAGCAGCAGGTTGCAGACGGTGCACATGTGGGCCACGGGCTGGGGCAGGTGCAGGCGGACGTGGATCATGAGCTCCTCCTCGGTCGGGAAGCGCTCGGCACACCGCGACCAGCCGCAGCGCCAGCGAGGCAGTCCGCCCTGCGCGCCCTGCGCGCCCTGTGCGCCCTGCTCGCCCCTCTCCAGGCGCGCAGTGTGCGTCTTGGAGACGCGGATCAGGTGGTTCCAGTAGAAGCGGCCCGACTGGAACGAGACTCGGCACATGCGGCACCGGAACGACTGCTGCGACGGGCAGATGTGGTCCCTGCAATATGTTCATTTTTGGTCATTATTTAGTAACATCCTATGTATTCATTTCATTCTTGACCAAATTATTAGATCCATGTTTAGATCAAACTAGAAACTCAAAACAAATTACCTTGGCAGTCGGAAATCCCCACATCGATCACACACAACTACTGTGTCTCTGTTTTTGGTGCGATGTGCCAGTATGTAGTGGCCATGCATTTCCTGTCTAGTGCCAGTAGCCACTTCACACAGAAGACACTGCAATGGTTCCATTGTCAGATTGCTGTCTTCCTCCTCTTCCTCTTCGAATGGTGCTGAAACTGAGTAATAATGTCAATATATTGGGCTACAACGAAAAATTCTTCAAAAGTAAGGGACACAAGATACACACCTGCCAGGCTTTTCTTCTGGGATTCTGTTCTTGTTGAAGTATCATCCGCTTTGTCTTCATCTTCTTTCTGCTCCTCTCCTTCGCATCCTATATCATATTTGTTTTCATGAGTTTTTAATGCTAAACGAGATTTGAATACTTTTTTACACTGATTACAAGAAAATACTTCTTTACAGAATTGAAAGTTACATCTAAGACATTCAAATTGGACACTATCACCTTAAAGTCAGGAACATATTAAATGAGTAATCAGTTCATTCCCAACTGCTCAAGACATAATATTTTTATTGTTATTACCTTGAAATGCAGAAGATGAGAGTTCTCTTGCTTCCTGGTCTTCTTTTAGTATAGTCATGTGATGTTTCTTTTCCCTGCAAGGTGAAAAGAGGTAATAACAATAGCTGTGCCAAGGCTGTCAAATTATGTTCTAAATACACCGCCCTAGAAATAAATCAGAAAGTGAAACTCACCGAGCTTTTGAGACACCTTTAGGATCCTAAAAAAACAAAAAAAAAAAAAAAACAAGAAGGATAAAGAATGTAAAATGAGATCAAGAAAAAGATACATAAGGTCACGAGATATTAACTCAAAGACTCACCTTTGAGGAACATAAAGAAATCTTCCTTTTTTGACGTTTTTTCTCAGGCGAAGGCTTCCAATCGTCATCAGATGAAGGTGAAAAATCAATGGCCTCATCATCCTCTCCGTCACTTTCCTTGACCCAGGTAGGGTCATCAACATCTTCGATAGCCTTGACATTGTCAAGGTTAGTTGTCTTGTTAATCACAGATTTAGATTTGGTCTCACCACCTTCAAAAGTAATTACACTAATGAATGTGCCTTACTCAACTTTACATTCCTTTTACGGCTCCAAAAATAGTAAAGCAAATACATACGACTTGTTGTTCCAACAGCAGCTATAGGACGCTTATTCCTCAATTTTCTGCAATATTGCTCCTCTGGCCTTTTCCCAATATGATCTTCCTTCAATGAATTATTGTCAATTTTTCTTTCAGAATTTTTCAACTCAAATTGAGACTTTGGAGGCAATTGGGCTGCATCACTGTCATTTGAGCAGCTAAGGGGGTTTCTGAAAATAACAGAATCAGATCGTAAGTTCCATTCAGTAAGAATGAGAAAATATTTGACACATAAGCATGCTTAGGTGACAAAATCATTCTTTATATACACTTTTCAGTGTAATGTCAAATCATTTTACTTACCTGTGCAGATAAATGAGAATAGCAGCAACATGTCCGCATTTTCCTAATCCACTACGGACACAGGTACAATTCGATAGAAAACTTTTCTTCTTGTTTTCGTCAATTTTAATACAAACAGTAACATTTTTGGAATGTGAAGTGTCTTGGCAGGTTGCTGAAACATCATAGCATTCTCCAGCAGATCTGCACAGCACTTCGACGTTCGCAACTTTATTATCATTGAAGATTTCTTCTCCTTCGATGAGGCAAAGCCTATCGCCACCAACAAAATCTAAAATATCAATGTAAGATACTAAAATCATAGTATTTTGATCAGAGAGGGTGGGTAACCACGGTTATAAACAAAAAACAAAATTCTATAGCTCGTACTGGTTAGTACTGGTAATCACTATTTTCAAAGTGGTCAGAAATGGACGATTCAGAGACGACTGAAAACCGAACCTCTTTAGGAAGATACCTTTAAGGACCGCGAAACAATACCAACGTTTTAAATGTAATCAGCATAACTATATCGTTGAATCAGCTCAGGGTTGGTGATAAATAACAAAAACTCAAGTTGAAAACAATTATTCAAAAATATAGATTAAATCCTGTAACAAACAAGATTAACGCAGAGTTTGATGGCGATAGTCTAATTTTGTTTAATGGTTGGTTTCGTTGTATGCTAGGTCGGTGTTGGGTAACTTTGGCTTTTTGCGGCACTAGTCTTTTTCTTTTCTGCTTCTTCAATCACTTCCCTTCCGTCCGCTGCCACTTCCTGCCCTGTTCTCTGCTCTCCTCTCCTCCGGCGGTGGGATCATGGCGACGGTGTAAGTTGATCCGCATTGAACACAGCGAACGCCAGTTTATTTCTAGTATCATCCCAGTGAATCAAAAAATATCATCATGCCGGGAATCCCGGGTTCGCTTACTTTCGACGAGTATGGTCGTCCTTTCATCATAATTCGTGATCAGGACAAGCAGAACAGATTAACTGGCAACGATGCTATCAAGGTTTGTTTCATCGTTCTTCGTTGGTGAATATTTTCTTATTGCGGAGTTTTTCAGTTCAATTCGATCGCATTGTCGTGTTAAGTGCTTGACCATTCACGTTAATGCAACTACAATTGGTGCATCAGCTTTGCCGATTTTAACCTTTCTTTGTTATGCGGGCCCCTGGAAGTTACAGGTGTGCACCCGGCGAAACTTACTATTTGTTTCTGAGCGCTATTGTTGGGAAATGTTCCGCTTTCCGAAATATTCTAGTTATCTAAGGGTTATTTTCTGTTGATCTATATTGTTTGAAGTTGGTAACTTTTATCTCTTATGTTGTTCAATTTGCCTTAACCCCCAATTCCACCTAGATCTCTGGCGTCAATTGTTAATTTTAATTTTTTCAATCTCTATGAGACATGCCATCAATTTTATTGTGGAATCGGTTTCTTTCAAATTGCAGTTCATTTTGCTGCTTTTGAGAAAATTGTGGTTAGATGGTTGAGTCATGTGACTCATTCCTTTCATGTTTCATGAGGTAGCTATGTTTCACCTTTTTGTTTCAGTCTCACATCAGCGCTGGGCGCCAGATTGCGAACACACTGCGATCATCGTTGGGCCCCAAAGGACTCGATAAAATGATGGTGTCATCTGATGGGGACGTTACTGTGACTAACGATGGTGCCACTATCCTGAAGATGATGGATGTTGATCATGAAATAGCCAAGCTCATGGTTCAGCTTTCCCAGTCTCAAGATGATGAAATCGGCGATGGAACCACTGGTGTTGTAGGTAGGTCTCATTGGACATCTTGAGTTAATCTTGTCTTTGTATTTGTGTAACCGTCCTCTTTCCCCCAGTGCTGGCTGGAGCTCTATTGGAGCAAGCGGAACAACTTTTGGATAAAGGCATTCACCCCATTCGCATCGCTGATGGATTTGAGCTGGCTGCACAGTTTGCTGTGAAGCACTTAGAATCCATTGCTGACAGTTTTCCTGTAGATGCCAAGAACCCGGAGCATCTTATTAAAACTGCCATGACTACGTTAGGCTCTAAAATGTAAGGAAATATTTTTATTTCTATTTCTAAGCTGCAAGTACACTCTGTGTGGACTTTGATTGTGGGTTCATTACTTTGAAATCTTGCTAGACCATATCCACTCTCTATTCCCATCTTCTGCCTTATCAGAAGTTTGATTATTCAGTTTGGTACATTTATATTCTTGTATTATTCTTTTAATCTTGCGTATGCAATGTTCAGAGAATGGTTGGAATTATTCCCTCAATTCTCTGAATTTTGCTAGAACGATAGGAGTGTTTGAGTTGTCATTAGTCTTGTAGAATGACAATATAGAAGCTTCTTACAGTTTCTGTCTGTTACTTTCTATTTGCTAATGAAGTGAGTCTTGTGTTAACTGATAATTGTTCGATTTACAGTGTCAACAAATGCCATCGTCAAATGGCTGAAATTGCTGTGAATGCTGTCATGGCTGTTGCTGACATGGAGAAGCGCGATGTTAACTTTGAGCTGATCAAGATGGAGGGCAAAGTTGGTGGCCGCTTAGAAGACACCATGCTTGTCAAAGGGGTGATTGTTGACAAAGACATGTCACATCCTCAAATGCCCAAGGTGAGTTGATGAGTTTATTGCACTATGTAGACCTGAAGAACCGGTTGGCTCTGATTAGGCTATAATTGTGCTAAATAATCGTGGCTTCATCCATATGGGGGACTTATTTTACATATTCCTTTCACTATAGTGGACCACACATCAGTTTCATCATGCATTATGTTTGTTCTGTTTTAGATCTAAAACTTTTAGTTAATATTCAGTCTGAACCGTAATCGTGAGTCTGTTTTGGCTCCAAACCATTGGTGGGTCTGTTTTCTATGTTTTTCCCTGATGTGAAACACACACGAGGTATATTTTTTGTGTGTGCATCTAATTCCGCACAAATTAGACTTCAGTTCAGATTCCGTGTGCACTGAAGGGGACAAATTGTGCAAGACTATTTTGGATCCAAACCATTGATGGGACTGTTTCCTATGTCCTTTTCACTGATGTGAACCACACACTAGGTTTATTTTTTTTTCATGTACATCTAGCTCTGCACAAATTAGACTTCAGTTCAGATTCCGTGTGCACTGAAGGGGACAAATTGTGCGAGACTATTTTGGCTCCTAACCATTGATGGGACTGTTTCCTATGTCTTTTTCACTGATGTGAACCACACACTAGGTGTTCATTATCTAATACAGCACAAAATAGACTTCAGTTCAGATTCCATGTGTGCTGAAGGGGACAAATTGTGCAAGATTATTTTGGCTCCTAACCATTGAAGGGACTGTTTCCTATGTCCTTGTCACTGATGTGAACCATACAGTTTATTGTTTATAAATTTTTGCTTATTGTGCTAAGGAAGTTGCTCACTAGTAAGTGTATAAAGTGTAAATTTTGACTTTTGTCCTTTAACTTGATGAATTGTTTATTTTAGGTACTTCGAGATGTGAAGCTTGCCATTCTCACATGTCCTTTTGAGCCTCCAAAGCCCAAAACAGCTCATAAGCTGGATGTCACATCTGTGGAAGACTACAAGGAGCTTAGGAAATATGAGGTGGAGACTTTCCTCAAGATGGTGCAGCAGGTCTGTTTTTGTTACTTTTTGTATTAAAGCAATAGGTCAAATTTCCTAATGCAAGTGCACTCAGTCTGACTCTTCATGTAGAGTATGGACTATTTGACTCTTGCTATATTAAGTCAATCAATCCATTCCTTCTTTCTGAGCTTATCTTAAAGTTGGTCATATTGTTTGATACAGATTATCTTTATTGTGCCTCTCTAAAGTGCTCTTAAGTTCTGATTATCTCTTTACTAATTTAATATTTGCCCCCCAGGTTAAGGATGCTGGTGCAACCCTAGCAATTTGCCAATGGGGCTTTGATGATGAAGCAAACCACCTTCTCCTTCAAAAGGAACTGCCTGCTGTTCGCTGGGTTGGAGGGCCAGAGATTGAGGTGGGTCCGCTGCAAAACATGCACTTCTCTTATGTGGCTGCCCGATGATTAGAAAGCGCAACGCAAAGGGAGGCTGTCTAGACGTTCATCCAGCTTCTACCTTTCCTGTCACCTTCTCATTTCTGCTGTTGTCCTCTACTCCTGTTCTCTCCTTGTCTGGTTGAGCTCTAAGACAGATGTTGCCCTGTGTGCGGCAGATTATGAGAGCTGAGGGCATATTTCTTGTTGCCTATCCTTCCCGTGTAGATTGCTGGTAGCTTGAACTTACTTCACTTGTTAAATTCCAGCTCATCGCCATTGCCACTGGAGGTCGTATTGTCCCCAGATTTGAAGAATTGTCACCAGAGAAGCTAGGTCATGCTGGTCTTGTGAGAGAGCTTGTCTTTGGAACTACCAAGGAGAGGATGCTGGTTATCGAAGAATGTAAAAACTCTAGGGCTGTTACTATTTTCATCAGAGGTGGAAACAAAATGGTCTGTATGCTTTACTCTGAATTCCCTCTGACCATAAAATACGGGAAATGAATTTAACTGCTTTGTGTTCACAGATTATTGAAGAAGCTAAGCGGTCTCTCCATGATGCACTCTGTGTAGTTCGCAACCTTGTTCAAGACAACAGGGTAGTCTATGGTGGAGGTGCAGCTGAAATTTCCTGCGCAATTGCCGTCTCCCAGGAGGCTGACAAGGTCAGTATTTTTATTAGGATTCTCTTTGCCAGTGGTGTTCACTGAGGCAGACACTGCCAAATCCTACTGCCAAAACTTCTTGCTCTTTTTAATGTTGTTATTCTTTTATGATGCTGATTCTCATCTTCTCCTTTTCCAGATCTCAACTCTTGAACAGTACGCTTTCCGTGCCTTTGCTGATGCCCTGGAAATGATTCCTTTGTCTTTGGCTGAGAACTCAGGTTTATCCAACATGGAAACTTTAACTGAAGTGAAAGCCCGACAAGTGAAGGAGAAGAATCCAGCTCTTGGCATTGATTGTATGCTTAAGGGTACTTCAGGTAAAGAGACTGTTTTGCAGTTTTCCCTATCTATGATTGTGTTGCCAATGTTTTAACAAAATTCCATTTGTGTTTCAGATATGAAGGAGCAGCACGTCATAGAAACACTTCATAGCAAGAAACAACAACTTCTTCTTGCTACACAAATGGTTAAGATGATTCTGAAGATAGATGATATCCGTTCACCAGCTGATCATTAATCTCTCCTTTATCTCATGTGTGGTGGTGTTGACCACTGTGATACAGTCATAAAATTAAGTACTATTAGTATTTTATGAGATTCATCATCATCTACTTATTTTTCAGCCTATGGTTCATTCCAGTATACAAAATGCATTTGAGCTGTTGCTTCACTTACCAATATTTTCATATTCCCAGTGTCACATGTATTTCAATTGCAACTTTTATTAACCATTAATTTATAATTGCTTCTTGTTGTTGGCTGTTTGTGTTTGAGCCAATAATGTAACACCACTGTGATCAATAATTTGCAAATTTGTAATAAACTCATTTGAATAACTGTTAATTTGTACATTTCTCTCCTCCAACCCTATCAAATTATGTAAGCTAATTATCTACAGTTTGATACACTTAATTATATCTTGATTCTGGTAATTTGATGCTGAGGATTGGTTCATCAATGAAAATAAGCTCACATACAAGAAACGAGATGATTTAATTAAGAATTAATGGAAATATAAATATACAATCTTATTCATTGATGATGAAACACATGTGAATGTTCAAGTCAAGTAGCACTAACTGTTAAAACATACCAATAGATTCAGCAAGAACGACATACATCTGGAGAGTGATTACACCAAACAGTATTGTAACAGCTGCTTTAAGGGACAGAGCCGACCAAGCACCAATAGCCATCACTTCTACAACATACTCCATGACTAGAGGCTTGTAAATAGTAGCTAGGAGAAGTACTGTAACGATGGGAACAAAGGATTTCTTAAGATCATGCCTGGTCCACATCCACACGAGAGCTGCAGTTTTTACATGCTGAACCTGCATGAGCAAAAACAAAACATTCATGAGATAGACAGGCCCTTGACTAGAGTTAGATTATGAAATTAACATCTCAACTCACCAGACTTATATTTGACTCCAAACATTTCTGGATGTATTTCCAGTGAAATTCAGACCCTCTGGCGCCTACCCATAGTAAAAGGCCTCGGGTTAAAAGTAACTCTGCTCCTCCCCAGCCAACACCAGCTGTCACAATTTTAGCATGACCCTTCCCAGGAATACCTGATAAAATAAGGTACATTCCCACCAGGTCCAACAAGTCTACCGTGGCTTTAAAAAATTCCTGCGAGAAATACAAAATAAATTTATGTACCACATGAAATGCAAACAGCATAGAGCTTTCATTAAGAGCAAAAAATAAAAATTGAAATTTATAGGGGCTACTCACGGTAAAGAGATCAATCCCTGCTACACCTGGCCCTTCACTTGTGGGAAAAAATGTTGCTAAAATCAACATTTTCACCAATTGAGTGAAGGCATAAATGAACCCTGCCTGAATACATTTCCAAAATGCCCCGTACTCTCCCCTGCAAGAGTAAAAATAAATAAAAGAGAAACAACATTATTAATACATGGGATCAAAAACATCCTCCAATAAGTCATAAGACAACATTTGAAATGAAGAGTTCGGGGATAGTCCTAGAATAAGGTTATGACACCTATACTTCCAAATTAGTGAATACTTGAATACTTACAACCCAGAAAACTTGTAAGTTAGATAATATGGCACATACACTAAGGCCACACAATTTCCAAAGTGATAGAGGGTCATTGTGGAAGGAAAGTAGTTATTTTACACCGAAAACCATTGAGTAAATTGGGGTTATCCGGTGTGACTTATCGTCTGCCACCGTCGACTCCCCCTTCCCCCTTCCCCTCTTCGCCGTTACTTCATTTGAGGCGGCGTGTTTGAAAAGTGCGCTCAGGAGAACAATAAAGTTGAGTTGAGGTACAGACTAGACCTCGGAGGCGTCAAAGTTGAGGGTGATTGTCCATTCTTGTTTTATATGGGTATTAATGAATGGAATGTGTCTCTGGTGTTTCGTGAAAAGGTTTAGAGGAAACTAAGACAAGAGGTTTTCATTCAGATTAATATAAATTTATCTAATTATTTTTTTACAGAAAATATGGGAAGAAATATATACAAGCATATAATGACAATTTTAGTTAACGTAAGAATGATTGAGGCTACATTAAAAATTAAGCCTAGTCACACATCACCACAACAGCAACACATGAATGAAGACAGCTTTACAATGTTTCATTTATTTAAAATCTTAATTTATTTTCTTAAACAAGCAATAAATCATGTTAAAACTATATTAAATATCACTGTTCAACAATGAAACAAGTATATTTGTTGCTTCATCCCTAGCCATGAGAATTTTGTGTCAGTGTAGTAACACATTTATAGCTGACAAAAGGCAAAAGTTCAAAAGAAGTTTAAAAACTTCATTTTTAATGCAATTGTCTAAAAATGGCTTCAGCTCAGATAAAACCAGCAGTCAGACACACCAACAGCCACAGTTACTTAAAATTGAATGGATCTGATTACAAATATGCATTTAATTATTGTAATTAATTAGTAATTGATAGACCGCAGTTTCAGTGTTGTCAAGCATCTAGACGAGACTTACTAAAGTGTGCGCTTAGGGCACAACTCACAAGTTAGAAAACACCAGGCAGATACAGTAAGAATTAAATAATTGAACACATTTGTGGGCATTAAGGGGGGATACACCCATACAAATTTGAGAGCAATCAGTTCAAAATACCTTCCGTGTTCCCCTTTTGTTTGCGCCTCAATGCTTTACCAGCCCTTATTTTTCACAATTTGGAGCAGAAACATTAATTAAACAGATATAAATCCCCCCCGAGTGGTTGATGTTCCAGTATGTTTAGCAATCCAAGGTGTCCTTTCAATGGGAATACAAGAGAAGGGGCAAACATGGGAAGGGGGGACTCTGAATTACTAAGATGCAGTTGCAGAATTGAAACATTTGCTAATGCGCTAATGACCTAGAATTCACATTAGTCGTTAACAGAAGAATTTCAAACAAGTGAAACCTCAGAAGTCGATGAATTAAGACAACCTAGTTTACTAACCTACCTTTAAAGAAGGTGGGGAAAAAAGAAAACACTTCAATGCAGCACAATAAAGTATACACGCTTTATAAATTTGAAGCAGGAAAAAAAGATAAACAGGATTAATTTGTCTCATTAATACAAATTACAAAGATGAAGAATCAGTAGCTTCATAAGATAAAACAGAAGAGTAACATAATGTATATATATTTTAAAATAAAATAAATCTCTCTACAACAATTATGCAAACAAACAACCCTTCAAAATATTATCTTACTATAGGGCTTTGTATCACCAATTAGCTGTGGTATGCCCAGAACAAAACAGTTTCTAGAAATAAGGGTACCCACATCAGAAAAGCAAATTTATTACCCAGTTGAAGGTGCCAAATGATGAAAAGTACTGTATGGAAGTTAACTGCTGGAAACGACATCCAAATCTACTAATTGTACAGTCGAGGGGAAGCACATTGTTTGAAAGGGGGGGAAAAAACAATGACAAAAAAAACCACACATCACATCTTCTAGTTTAAGCCATACTTGGTTTTCAAGCAGTTGAGATGCATTAATATTTGCTTGACAACAGAAAAGTTTGGAGGGATACTGAAAGCAAAAACATCAATGGCCATTAGACCCACAAATTGACCATGACATCTTGAAGACATTCCAGTCACTACACAACATATTTGAAGTCAGTAATGGTAAAGTCTTTCCCTATGTTCTTAGTTTTCAGGTTTGATAAGATTAATTTAAAGTAGAACAATGATTAAATCGGGTATTCTCTCACTCCAGTCTTTAGGTGGAAATCGTGAAAACAGTAGAAAGCTTTAATTTGTGGCGTACAGGTAATTAAAAAGTCAAGGCTACAAAACTATATTCCATTTCTCTTCTCACAAAGTTCCTCTTGAAACTGAATGCCAAAAGATTATGATAACAAGATTGAAGATGTAAAGCATTTTATAATTGTAGGATCCCTAAGGGTTTCACATCTTTTGAAAGAACCCAAAATGTGATTGGTACATTAGTTCGACCTTATAAGTAGAATAAAGACAAATTAGTCTCAAGAACATCATTTTGAAAAAGAAACAATGAAAAGGGGAACAACTACTCTTTGAAAGGAAAAAAAACTCAACGAAGTGGGCAGATGTGGGTATGAAAGATACAAATATTTAAGAAATACAAACAAGTCAAGTCCTAACTACATGACAAATTTCACTCTCTTTTGGAATTTGGTAACTGTCAAGTGCATATCTTTGTGCAGTAGAACGTTCCATGTGTTCATTTCTAAACTACTATTTCATTTTACTACAGTATTTAAAAGCAAATTATCTTTGTTTCAGTCTCTAGAGTGCTTTCTGCCTTGACTCTTTGTGGCATAATTTTAAAATGACCAGGTAGGTAAATGTGAAGAAAAGACAAACAAGTGTCTCTTAGTTTAGCTTAAATATCACACAAACCTTATAACAGTAGGCAAGTGAAGAATGTTTACAGTAACACAGACTGCTTAAGGTTTGCAGCCCCTGATAACCAATTTAAAAAAAAACAGTCAGTATGGTAATGAAATTGATTCAATTTAGGGAAGCTTGGAAAAGGAGGTATGGCAGTGAAAATTGTACAATAAAGAGTCTTTTGGAAGAAAGTATGAAAAAAAAAACAATAAAGATTGGGTGCCCATCAAGAAAACGATGCAAATAACTACAAGAACAAAACAAGTAGTTTTTTTTTTTAAAATTAGCATGCCACATTTGAAATCAAGATGCTAAGTAAGTAATGCACCCAAACCACGTCATTCCAGTGCACTAACAAGTTAACAAAATTTGTGCTATCACATAACAGTGACAAAAGCACTGATTAAAGCAAGACTATAACATTCATCATTTCAGTTGTGACTCACTACTGAATACACACCCACACCTACACACTATTCACAAACAGATATGATTACCGAAAATGATCCACAAAGGTAACAGAGATAACAAGATATCTCTCTCCCCCCCGTCCCCTCCCGAACCCTAGTAGGCCCAATCAACAGCTAGAAAATTGTTAAGTGTTGGATTGTTCCCTGATACGAGTTACAATAAAATTATCGGACAGAATGAATTCCACAAATTTAATATGGATCAGTGAGGCCATCCCCGCTAACACGGGATTCACATGCCTTAGATTCCAGCCAAAAGGATTTCTTTCTAGGAATCACAGTCAAACAGTTTTACTTTTCTCAAAGAGGAGGATAAGATTTCTTACTTTTACCAGAGAGATTTAACACAAAATTTCCTTTTTAAATATATAAATCCAAGTTAAGTCTTCTCTCTATGGTAAAATAAACCATCTCCTACAAACCGATGATCAATTCCATCCTTTAGAGTAGAGTACATTTCCTCCTCTTTGCCACAGGCATAACTGGACAGAGAACAGCACGGATTGCTTCATCAAACACAGTCTTCAATCCTTTCTGAGTAAGTGCACTGCATTCAAGATATTTCACAGCACCAATATCTTTAGCCATAGACAACCCCTGTAATATTATAGGATAAATTAGAGCCACTCCAAATGCATATAAGGTAAGTGCATGATTGTTGACAAAATGAGCAGTACATACTTGTGGGTAGGTAATTGGGGCCAGTTTCTTTTCTTTCAATTTTTCATTTGTGTCTTTGTCATCTCGAAGATCAAGCTTTGTACCAACCAAAATGATTGGAGTGCTTGGACAGTGATGCCGCACTTCAGGGTACCACTAGAAAATAAAAAATAAAAAACAAACGATAAATGAATGCACAGTTAGAAATTCAAACAAGTGATAGTACTTTATTGTGACAGTTAAATTACCTTTGCTCGGACGTTTTCAAACGATGCTGGATTTACGAGCGAAAAGCATATGAGGAACACATCCTAAAAATTAAAATAGAAAGTTTCAGTAAAGAATACAATACAATACAAGAAGAAGAGGAGCCAACTAGCGCCAACTGCCAATACTAACCGTTTGAGGATATGATAGGGGTCGCAGTCGATCGTAATCTTCTTGACCAGCTGTATCCCACAGACCTAAATTAATAGGCTTTCCATCTACCATAACATTAGCAGAATAGTTGTCAAACCTGTGATCAAAGTTGATAAACATAATTAAGACATGCCAACCACAAAAAAGATGAAAAGAAATCACACTTGGTCTCCATTTCAATAAACTTACACAGTGGGAATATACTCTCCAGGGAAGGCATTGGTTGTGTAACTGATGAGGAGGCAAGTTTTACCCACAGCACTGTAATGAAACAAACACAAAGTTGCAGATTAGAAACAATGACAATTGTGAGGTGCATGTCGTCGAGACGGGCTGTCATCCCGCCCCCCTCTGGCTGCGAGAGGGGCAGGGGACTTCCCTCCCGCCCCACCAACCCGTGTGTGACGTCAAGTGCATGGCCAGGGGAAGGTCAGGCCGAGGCCAGTCCGAGGCCCGGGAGTTATTGGGTGGATGTCAAGGTTCCCCCGGCAGAAGGGGAGGACCAGGGAAGTCAGCGAGGATCCCCCCCCCCTTTTCTCTCCTCTTCCCACAGGCAGTGCTACGGCAATGCCCACCATGTGCTCGCCGCGCTCCTGGTGGGATGGGGCGGGGGCGACGCTTGGTTCCCCCAGTTCCCACACGCAGCGATGGTTATTTCGAGACGCCCCCTCAAGGACGATGCCGATGCCCCCCGCGGTGCGGCGACCAGATCCACGACCCATTCGGCCAGCGTCCGCCCCCGCTGCCCGTTTGCTTACAGTTGCAGTTTCAAGGTCGGCGAGGAATTAGAATAACTCCGACGATACGCTTTGATGGCGGTCCGCGGCCCGGCCCGGCCCGGCCCGGCCCACACCCGGGAGGCGCGGACGCACGGACGCGGAGCGCCCCAGTAGAGTAATCGCGGTGCAAATCCGCATTCCGCACGCTGAACCGGGGCGGCCGGGCCGGGCCGGGCGTCACCGCCAACCACGCCCAACCAACGGCAGCGGGCCCAGCTCTAGGCCCAGCGGGCCAGGGCAGTAGCCCAGCGCAGGGCGTGCGGCCGCCATGGGCCGCCACCACACCACCACCACGTCAATGACGCGCTGAGCCGACAGGCCGCCAGCGCCTGCCGCCTGCACTGTAGCGTGGCCGCCGTGGCGTCCAACAAGTCCGAAGCGGCGGCGCGGCGGCGCGGGGGGCGCGGGCCACTCCCACGTCGCCGTCACGCCGTCACGCCTAACGTCAGGCCGCAGTCGCGTCGGTCGGAAGTGTCCGCTCCGAGCCACGCCCATGATTGCCACGATCGCGGTGCCTGTCCGCTGGTGGCCCTTCTTGGAACACACAGCGTCAGCACCGCGACCGCGACTGCAGCGGCAGCACATAGCGACGACCGGGCAGGGCAGGCAGGGCAGGCAGGGCACCGCCTAGCAGGCCTAGCACCGAGGCAATTGCACAACGCAAGTGTCGCCCAGCTCCACGGCCTAGTGCTGGTGGCATGGCGGTGGCCGCGACCTACGAGGTGTCAGGTCTTCCCTCGGCCGGGCCTGGGCCCTGCCAGGGCCCCGCCGCGGGGCAAGGGGGCCGAGTCTCGCGCTTCGCGGAGCCCCGCGGTGCCCCGCGGCGGGGCGGATGGCTGACGGCGGACCGCAGGGCCGATCACCTCGGACGTCACGTCACGTCACAATGACGTCACTGCGGAGTCATTGGCACTCGTGTCGCGTAATACTGTAAGCTAGGCACAAGGCGGTTGGGACCTGCAGCAGCTCATGTCAGCAGCCAGCGGCCGCGGCACGCACCGGACGCCCAGAGCGCTCTACTCGGCTCAGTGGGGCCTAAATTCACCTAGGGCCGCCTGGGGCCCTCGGCGGACCCACACTCGGCCTTCCCTGGACACGGTGCGCTGCGCGGTGCGGCCGCCCTGGCCGACCCAGTGCCAAGTGCCAGTGTCAAGGTGGCCGCGGCGGCGGCGGGGGGGTGCGGGGCCGCGGGAATGGGCACGGGGCACGGCGTGGCACGGCGCCTCACCCTGGTCGAGCGCTCCCAAGCACGCAGTCGCTGGCAAGCAGGGAAGCTAGCCAAGGCAGCCAGGGCTTGGCAAGGAGCCCGCCCAAAGCAAACGGTTTCGAACAAACAGTTTGGCGCGAAAAAAAATGCCCCTCACAGAAGGAGAGGGGGGCGGGGGTTACGTCGTGGTGTACACTGGCCACCTAAGCAGCTCAGCTACTCAGATGTACAGTGTCCTCGTATTCGCAAGCTGCAATGGGAGTCTGCCTGACTCGGCAGACTCAACCTGATACAGGAGTCCAGCAAGGAGGAGGCGGGGGGAGGGGGGCTCAGGGCACATGGCAGAGTGAGTGACTCAATATGATAATCCCATGATGACTGGACTGGCCCAATGTATCAGGCAATAAGAGTAACTGTAATCTCCATGCAGAAAACTATTGTGCATTTTCAAAGAAATGCTATAGCTCTCAAAATGGTTTTAATAATAATAATAATGGTAAAAATATACTTTACCAGAAAACTTGTACCAGAAAATTGAGTTTTTATAATTACAGTTACGCTTAGGAACATAGTTTGGCTGCCTTGGATAAAGAGGAAACCCGCATGTGCCAAGAAAACCATAAATGATAAACTAAAACACGTAAGATTTAGCATGTGAAGACAGTCAAAGCTTATATCAGGTGGACGGACACTTGTTAACCTGACATAATCAATTCATAGTAAGGTTGTGAAGAGTGAGCTTCAAATATAAAATCTAGCTTAGATAACTGCCATTTTCCACTCAGTTTGAATAAAATACATCAGCAAGCGCACAAATGGATTTAAAGTATGTAAAATGACGAGTCTGTCAAAAGACACGTCTTTCTTACTTACAAACATAAAGGGATTTTCTACTATATTACATCAGGAACGATCACACATTAATTTACAAGAAGCTGATAGTAAAACTTTCGGTAACTATCAGAGAATGCAGCCGGATAAATATTTAGAAGCAACATCTTCAACAAACAATCCTAACCCTACTTCTCTTGTCACAACCAATAACAATACTAAACATGCTACAGGCAACGGGGTATTGAGCTTAAATTTGAGGGGTACTTAGATGCAACAAATCATTGTTTCGTAAAATACAGTAACTCAACCTCTGGAGAGAAAAAAATGGAATATTTTAAGCACCCGATCTAAATGGGAACAGGTCCTTGTACATCTAATGTAGCCGATTTACTGCCGAAGTTGACGTTTGACACACCCACTGGTAAGTCCAGTGTAGCAGAAATATTGCACTTACCCGTCACCCACCACAACACACTTGATGGCTTGCATTTTGAAACGGAATTTTCAAGAAATCCAGAAGATAGGCGTACGCGGATGAAGAGTAGACCGTCCCGAAAAAGGGGTGAGGAGGGCTGCCCAACCTTCAGGCAGAATTCTCTAGCACAACAGCCTTGGACAAGGCAGCGAAGACAAGCGTCTTTAGCACACAATTCGCGCAAAGTTTTACCACTGTTCCAGTTAACAATTGCTTTCCAACCAAAAGCAAATTAATTAAATTGGATGACCGCACGGTATCTGTGGCACCACCACCTAGACTCAGACTGGCCGCTGAAATTTTGATTCGCTGTTACTTGAGCATGTTCCCCCTCCTGTTCCCCCACCCACACTCTAAATGCTTCAGCGCGATGCAGAACTCGTGAGTGCTATAAAATAGGTGAACGGCCCCGCTAAAGCTCGTTCAGTTAGATGTGTTTCGGATCCGGAAACAAACCTGTACAGCGGTTGTTGTGAATGGGTTGTGGAGGATCAACTTAACTTGGTGACATGTTTACATTTCATAGTCATGATCTTGTTTATTTAACCATTGCTGTATCTTTTCTGAAAGCAAAAAAGTGAGTGTTCACTTATCTGAGATTAAAACATCATGAATTTCACATAGTATACAAAGTGGCGATTACACGTCATATTCAAGGCAGTTTCTTTGAAAACCCTGAAGTTTAAGCAAATAGTTTATCAACATGCAGTTTGCCATGTTACCCATTCATTTTAGCCCGTATTTTATCTAGCAGCCGCAGTGTTTATTCTTATACTTGTTTCAACCCATTTACAAGTTTTCTAGGTTTTTATTTATTTAATAATGTTATTTGTGATGGTTAACTGTCTACTTAACCTCTAGTAGTACATTTAAGGCTTCAACCTTTACACTCTTAAGGCTCAGCACAGATAGTTAGTCTCCCAATTTTCATGTAAATATCTGTTAAAATGTCTCTATCCAGGTGTATTTTTACATGATAATAGGTTTAGGTTAAGTGCATCTTAGAAGAGGTTCTTCTGATAAAAATGTTTATTTCCTTTAACAGATTACAGTCTGTGTCCATATTACATAAATCTTCATTTACTGTCATCAAGGGAACATCTCAATATGGATGACCTTTTTCTGTTTCCAACAGTGAATTCATCGCCTGGACAGAACTGTCCCAGCTCTGCTTCCAGTAGAAATTCTTCTGGATCTGTACATCTCGCTGCCGTTGGTGGTGCTGTTCCTAAAGTAAAACTTCGTAAAAAGATGACAAGCCACTCCAACAATCCTTTACCTCACTCACAACCTTCCCACCAAGTAAATCCTCCAATAACGTCTCAACAACAACTGCCTCGAGCACATCAACATGCCACCACAAATGGATATGCTCTCAATGGAAGCAGTATGCCTTTGAATAGTAATGGATTGTCAATCAATGAATTTCAATCATTAATGTACAGAAATATGCCCAAAAATCAGGTAAGCGTTCAAGAGAGAATCATTTCTGATAACCCATCTTCATACATTTAACCATGTGCCACTGTTCAACTTCTTCCAATACATTTGAAATCATTTTTCAATACATGGACATGATTTTCACCTCTTGGTGCTTCTTAGGCTGCTTTTGGACACTCTGGCTTAGAACCAATGCTATTTTTGTTTCAGCCCCCTCTGCATTCTCTGTATTCTATAATTAGTCTTTCGGAAGGGAGGGGGAAGTGCTATTCCAAAGCTATATTCTTTGTTCCTTTCAAATTTGCTCCATGTAAGAAACTGAAACTTTCCCAAAACTCTTTAAGTATTAATTGTCACTTTAAATTGAAAATGTAGACACAGCAAGAGCACACTCTCTTGCTCTGAGAATTTCTTTCCCTTTCATTAGTTACACTAAAAGGCTTTCTATTCTGTCTATTTCACCATTTAACAGGTTTTTTTTTTTTTTTTTTTTTTACTCTTTCTGATCACTGTAAGACATAAATTGTCTGTCTAATTTGCCCTAGCTGCTGTTCGATTGGCAAAGTGGAGAGGTTCCTTCAACTACCCATAGAAGCTGTAGGAATAGGCCTGCATCCTCTGAGCTTTATGATTCAGGTATTTATGTTGCATTATGAAGCAAGTGTTCATCATATTGTGCTATGTTATGTTAAGTTTCATATTTACACTTCAAAATCCTCTCAGCATCCGATGAAAGTGTATCTCAGGATAACCGTCAAATTCCGCAAGTGAGCCACCCATACAGAGGTATCTTCTCTGAGGTATGTCAAAGTCACAGAAAACTTGTTGCATGGCTCATTAATAATAATAATTATTATTAAAAATTTATCTCAATCAAATTTCAGGCAGCCCTTCAGTTACATCGATTGAGAATGAATGGGCAGGATACTGGTTCTGGTGCAAGCCCATCTGCAACACCATCTGAGGCTTCCTCTCATAGTGTAGCTCTTAATCATGGAGTATCTTCTGAACAACAAAACCGAAATGGAGAGACTAATCGACGTCCTATGAGTGATACTAAAAAAATGAATATTCCATCATCGGTAATTTTTTCTATAATTAAGTTTTTATTCTTGTATTCTATTTATGAGAGTATTTGATCATTCTTTTCTTGTTTGTCTTTAGCCCGATCGCATTCAGGTGGAACATCGCCTGAGTCAAATTCAAGATTACATCAAACAAACATCATCGCTGATTGAGTCATACAGACTCTCAGATGCAGTAAGTTTCTTGAACGCATCGTGTATCATCGCTCTCTTTTTTTTTTCGTTCATTTATGAAAGAAAGCTACATTTAGTGGGTATTATTATATGGGCAACAGGGGGCCACAGATGACTCAAGAGTAGAATTTCTTGTGGAAGTTCTTAAGGATCTTCATGACAGTGAAGCAAAACTTAAATCCTTGCTCTCTGCCTTAGAACAGATCACCATTGAAGATAATTTGAAGGTCAGATGTTTCATTTGAATCAAAACTTTGTTGGTTAAACTTTGATTACTTCAAATAACATTTATTAAATTTGCTTCCAAGTATTTTTGATCCAATTTTATAACCTGTTGTTGTGTGTAACTTACTTCTGTTTAACATTTCTTATACTCTCATTCAAGATGTTTGGGTGTGTGTTAATTAATTCAATTGATGTGGCTGCATGTGATTATTCCTTCAAATCGTAGACATTTGGTAAAATATGGGCAATTGCTTATTCTTCAAGAGTTATTTTTCTCCTGACTTGTATTAGTTGCTTTCAACCCTTCTCTCTGAACTTACTAATCATGCAAACTCTCAATTTAGACAAATATGGAATCCCCGGCCATTGAAGGTGCCAGCCGTCTGTCGCAGTCTCAAGACACTCATCTCAATGGGAATGACCATGTGGCCAATGCAGTGGTAAGTCAAACCTGACTCTACTTTGTTGTCTCTTCAAAGTAACTCAGGACTGGTGATGCTGACCTGTCTTATCTGTTTGTTGTAGACTACAACCCCCAAATCAACAGACTCCAAAAAACAGAGTGAAATTAAAATAAAATTTGAGGAATCTCTAAGACAGGTATAAACAACTTTAACAAAAACTAAAACTTTTTCCTTGTAATATTTATTTTTTTGAAGCTTCGTTTTAACTTAAATGTAATGCGTCATTCAATTTCCAGCTTCATGCTCTTCAAGCAGAGCAGGCATTGCTCATTCAGAAACGAAGTGAAGCACAAGAGCAGCTCCAGGAAGCTCAAAGAGCTCGGGTTTGTCTCCACTTGTTTTTGCATATCCCTAAATTAATAAAGTATCATCCATGTTCAGCTACTACATTTGTCTCAATTTCCAGAATATATTGATGGCTTTGTCATCAAATGGATGTCCTGTAAATGCGCAAAGTGAAAACACTGGATCAGATGAGCAACTCTCTGAATCCTTGTTGAATAACTTCCAAGATATGGAAAGGCACTCATCGCCTTTCAGGGGCAAAAGCAAGGTAATATTCCACCTTATTTAGTTAGTACTATATTTACATTTTGTTTCTTTAACTTAATATTTTATTCCACTTTTGTCTCCTTGTAGGTTGTAAGTAAGCCTGAGGCCCCTCAGATCTCTCCCAATAGAGAACTTCCAAACAGAAAGAGGCAGCTCACAGAGTCAGAAGTTACAACCTACTGTGAGTTTTTCTTTTCTAAATACTTCAGTTTTATGAAACTTTACAAATTACTTTTAATGTTGAATAATATCATTGTCCCTTTCAGTGAAGGAGTTGATGACTAGTGATGAGGTGAAAGAGCAAGCCAGTAGTGAAGACAGTGCTGTTGAAGACGCTATTGATGAGTACGCGGATGCTCGTGCACAAGTGCGTTTGCAGGGCCAAATTGTTCATGATAAAGTTGCAGAAATTAATGCTCTTCGTGCACAGCTTGACCAAGCAAAGAGCTTGCTTAACCTTGCCAATGTATGTACTATTCAGGTGACTTGGTATATCTTTGTGCTTGGTAAAAAAAATACTAATTTTCACCTTTTTTTAAACTTTTATCCAGAGAAGAGAAACTAGATCCCTCACTTCAGACACGAATTCAGTTGATGAGGCTGTGACAGACCAAGCCATTAATATACAACGACAAAGGCTAGGGGATAGTGAAGTTGCTGCACTGGATGGTTCAGATGCCAGGAGGAATAAAACAATTAAACAACAGTAGGTTTTCTTATTTTTCTCTCTTTTTCTCACTCTTTCTTTTCCCTTTTAAAATGACCTATTCTTCATCTTGAATTCCAGACTTCTCGAGCAAGAGCGAGCAAAGCTAGGAAGATTGCGGGGCTTGCTGGCAACTGTTCAGGAGTATCGGTCTTCTGGCCTCCCCATACCTGAACACATACTTAATGAGTTTGGGAGTGAAGTGCAGCCCAACGCTTTGCAAAGTACTTCTCCATCTCGCACAAGTGGCTCTCAGAGAGGGGCACAGGAGGAAGATGCAGCAGCAGAAGCAGATGCAGAGGAGGATGATGAACCAGAGTCGTCAATCCAGTGGAATCAGGAGCAAATGTCCTTAGTTGAAAGGTAAATGTTTGCAGGGTGTTTCTCCTGTTAAAATTTTTATTAATAACTTTCAATTTTATTGTTTTCAATTTTTTTTTGTAGTGCATCAATGGCTAGTGAGCTCTCACAAGGCCTTCAGCAACGAGCAGCTCAACTTCAAGTTGAGAGAGATGGTCTTGCAGCCATGCAGAGACAGCTTGATGGTTTGTTCAGTCAGCTGCAGTCACATCAGTCTGCAGAAAAAACAGAATCAGCTAATGCTAGGACACCAAGCAATGCTGGCAGCCTGCAAGGCAGTTCTCCTTCCCATCAAGGCCGCAGGAGTCAGAACTCTCAAGAAAGCAAGGTATACAAATGTGATTCTTGTTTAATGTGATAATGTACTTTTAGGACTGGTAGAATCACACAAAAAATTATTTTCCCTCAGAGGGCGGATGAGGCAGCACAGAGAAGGATGGAAATTTTGTCAGATTTACATAACAGGTGGCAACAGTTACAGGAAGAAATAGCTTTAGATGGAGGTAAGGAAAGACACATGTCAATGTACCTAACACTTTTAATTTTACATGCTTTACAGTAATATCAATTACATGATCCAGTTTTTGTTTTAGTTTGATGAAATAAATTTTTCTGTTCACAGAACTTAATGCCAGAACTGCTCCTGTTCTAAATGCAGCTCAAAATGCTTTGACAATATTAGCTTCTCACATCCATCCTGTGTGAGTATGAACTCCATCTTCTGTAATGTTGATTTAAATTTACCTCAATAAAGTGAATAAAATAAATTTAAAAATATTATTGTTATAATTCTTATAGGACGGAAGCTTCTGAAGGCAATGCTGGGCCAATGTCATGGTGAGACCATTTTGAACATCTCTGTGTCCTTTTATGAGAATAATGTACAATAAAAGCACTTTGACTTAACTTACTTTATTTTACAGGGATCAAAGATCGTCCCAAGGAAGAGATGAAACCTTGGCAAGAAGAGCCGGTGCTGCTCAGGTTCCTTCTCAAGACAGGCACTCTGTTGACAGATTTCAAATGTCCTCTGCTCCAAGCACATTGATGAGAAGAAAATCACCCACAGATGTTGCTAGAAATCAGCGTGCTGTCTGGAGCTCATCAATGCTTCAAGGAGACACAATGACTGCTGAAAATAATTCCTCTGAATCCATGAGGTACAATGTCCTTCTTCCAGAGGAGACTCAACCTGTTGTTAGCATGCCATCCCCATCTCCAAGTGTACTGCAGCATCAAACACAAGATGTAAGACAGTAATGTTTATTGGTTCTGTTGTACTTTTGAAGGGCTTAGATCAAGAGTGACGCAATAAAAATTGTTCAAATTTCTATTTTAGGTAAGGAACCGTTTAGCAGCATTAAGTCAGTCTTGTCAGAGCCTTTGTGTGGACAACACTGATGTTTTCAACTCGTCGCCTGTGCTGCCCCTAATGCCAGCCATTCCGCCCCCTCCACCCCCTCCTCCAGGAGCTTCTAGTCATGACCGAGAGGCTTATTACCAACAACTTCTAGCGGCAGGACAATTGCAACAGCATCAGGTGTTGTTGACTGCTGTCAACCAGTGTTTTCATATGCTCAAAATGCAGCAGCATGAGCTTCTAAATCTGAGCAATTCTGTACACATGCTTTCCTCTGGTGCCGGCCATGTTGGGCCTGTTGGTGTTCTTCCTGGTGTTCACCACTCTGGTGTGCACCCATCTGTCGAGGCTGGTGTTGGTGTGCACCAAGGTGTCCACCAGGGTGCACACCATGCAGTCCACCCTGGCCTGCTCCAGAATGAGGAGCAGTGGGCAAACCCAGCCCCTGCACCCTGTCCCCCGACCCTTAATAATCAAGTCCCTCCTGGCAATCGCACCAACAATTACTGGGACAACTTCCGCAGGTAACATTTTAGTTTTCAATATATTTCTGTTTATTGTTTTGTGCAGTGTTTTCATGCACATGCAGGTGTGTCAATTGTATACAATATCTTCAGAGAGATGTATATGTCTGTCTAGTTACTCGCGGCAGAATCTGCTTTCGACCAGTGCAAAGAGCAATGAAGGCTTGCCTCATAGTCCAAGCCCTTTGGTTGAACGCTCTCACAACTCATTACGGAGTTCAACTCCTATGTCTGTACCGGGTTCATCCGCAATACCAGTTGCTTCTGGAATGCCTCAGTTTCACTCCCTGTCGACTCAACCATGCTTACCAGGAGTAGGTTCTGCTCTAACGCAGTCCAGTGGCCTTGACTCTGCCGGTGCTTCCCTTGGTGCAATGGGGCCTGTACCTACAACCATTGACTATTCCCTCACATCTCCTCTTGTTCAGAATATGTAAGTGATTTTCTTTCATGTTACTAGGTATATGAAGGCTAGGTTGTCATTCTTTAGTCCAAAGTAAAGTATTGATTGTTCACTGAATAATAAAATTCATTATTTATCATCTGTTATCGGCGGTATTATTTCTTGTCTCTTTGAACTTTAAAAAAAAATCAGTTTTCAGTCATACGTAGATTGTAGTTTGTGCAAGTATATATACGGTAAGGTGTGGCTTCGTTCAGTGTCTTGTTTTTCATTTTTGTTGTCTCATTTGATGTCAGTAAAGATTTTGGCTTTTCGCATTTACTTGACTTTGTTACATCAAATTGGCCTACTGAGTAGTTTTGCATGGGGCTCTTTTGTTCGTGTCTGAACCAATTTTTGAACCAGTAATTGCATGGGATGTATTATGCTTCAAAGTGCCTGTTTTTGTCCCCTTGAGCTTGAGAGTGAAAGTTTGCAAAGCAGAATACTAAATTTAAGTCATGCTGATTCATTATGTAACCATTATTGTGCCCTTTGTGTCTTCATTGAATTTGTGTGTCTGGAGAGGAAGAATACTAAAACTGGAACAGCTATGCTTCCCCTAACTTTTTCAGTTTGTCTGGGTGACATGCTGTCATGTCAGCTTCTCATAGTTTGCAGTTTTGTTATCTGTGCTTTAATCAAAGACATGATGCAAGACTAACAGTCAGAACCAGTTCAGTTTTGGCTAGACACACAACATCCAATTCTCTCTTGGGTGTTCAAACTCTCTGATTCAAGTCAAATTTAATTTGTTTTTTATTATTAAATAAAGAAGTCTTTGCTCAGAACTTTCACTGTCAACCATTTTCCTTGAAGTAAAGGAGACAATGTAGTTTCTTAGGTAAGAATCATCAGAATAATGGGGTTTATAACTTAAAGTAGTGAACTATAAATGTAATTTGATTGATTAAGGGTAATGTGTCATACTATCTTCTATCAATCTCCATTTTTCTCTTTTTCTTTCCAGATCACGGAAAGACAAACGCAACATTGATCATATTGATGGAGGATTAGGGTCACCAAGGCGACGTCCTTCAAATGAGATTGATCACCGTTCAGCCTCGAGAGCTTTGGAAGATGCTGCTTTACCTCTTAACTCCCAGTTGCTATCCCCAACATCACAGGAGTTTGAAGTCCCTTCCATGCCAATTTTACGAAATAGTGTTGCTAGCCTTCAGTCTCGCCTGAATCAAGTAAACTTGAACGCGGCGTCTTCATTTGCCAACTTGCAGGAATTTATAGAAGCACAAAACACAAGACAACAATTGAATAATGAGGGGGTTCCTTTCAGCGAAATTTCCTCCTCAGTTTCAAACCAGCAGTTTAATGAGACAGGAGCATTTTGCTCTCTTGATCATGCAAGAGAGAACTCTCACTCTCGCCGCCTTAACATGGATTATCATAATGGAACCACAGAAAATGAACCACCAAGTTCAACTGTACTTAAAAGAAATACAGGAGCAATCAAGCGCACTTATACCACATTGCAAGGGGTTGCTAGTAATGCTCCAGCATTCTCAACAAACTATCAAAGGAATATTCACTCAGCAACTACTCATCCATCATCTGGCGCTCTGTCCAACAATGCGGAAACATCCAAACTTTCCTCTGTGTTTCCAATGTCTAACAGTGATTCAGAGGCAATTTATAAATCATCCAAGCAGCAGTCAGGTCAAGACACAGGAAGAACATACAATTGTATTGGAAGAAGACCTGGTTTTCAGGAGGACCTCCAAGTTCCCTGCTCAACCACTTCTTCTATGACCCGAACAAGGATAAGAGGCATAAATGAAACTGAGGATAACTCAATCTTTCGTCATGGAGAAGAAACTGAATGTGATGATTCAAGTGCTTTACGAAGTGTAGGGTTCAACAACTGCCAAAGTTCTGCCAGTAGCCACAGCTCATCTAGCCAGAATATGTCAAATGTTGAGATTCATGGCTTTGGACCAGGAAAAAACCAACTGAAAGAGAGTTGTTTCCAAATTCGAAAGTGTCCTAAATACCAGACAAAGACAGGTGCACGTAGTCCTCTTTCGGACTCAACAGCAGTTGCTGCTGCTGCAGTAGCAGCTGTTGCTCAAAACTCTCCAGTTCAATGTAACCCTCATCAGGCTTCTTCCATGAAATCTCAATCTGGAAACTGTCAACGAACTGTCAATAAGAATAATCAGGATTATACAGTACTTAACCATATGTGAGTTTCTAACAAATTGTTACATAGTTAAAGTGTTGCAAAAAGACTGGCTTTATATGAATTTTTCATTTGCAGCTCTGGTCAAGGTCAATTATTTGAGGAACTGCGGGAGTCGGTGTTTGCTGAAATGACGTCACTCATTTCAGCCAATGGGAGTCGATCACACTTTTTGGTCCAACTTCTTAAAGATCTACAGCACATTAGTTCCGACTCAGTTAGACAAAGTGTACTTCAATTGATTCAGCAAGCTGTCAGCAGATACCAGGTAGAATACATTAAGTGACTGCTCATGGACAACTTTGTTAAGTTCCTGAACAATATTTTATTCTATCATTTCAGATTGATTTAAGCGCTGTTAGCCAAGATGGATTCCCTTCACCATTTGAGGAAGAAGTGGAAGATGATGAAGATGAAGCTAAGAGAATTGACTTGCAGATGCAAGAAAAAGACAGGCTTCCTTATGCGGGAGCATGCAGCTCCTCTGATGTTAAGGTAAGCACCATTAAATTTATTTTGGGTTAGTAAAGTTGTCTTAGTTGAGTTGCATCCCTGAAATTTGTTTACTTGCCACAGGTTTCAAGCACACAAGAAGGTGAGACCTTGATGCAACTTGTATTGGGTCTAGAACTGGCAGCAGTTTTGTCTGGAAATTCAGAAGAAACTTGCTCTCTGAATTTAATGGAGGATGTGCGAAGTAGGATTCTTCAGCTAATACCCAGCCCGCCCACCCCACCAGTGTCTAATATGCAGGCATCAAACTCTACACGCTCTGCCTCATATCTTCACTCTCAAATCGATAGTGTATTGGAAAGTGTTTTCCAGAAATTCAAAGGACGCAGGTTTGTGGTCAAATCCAAACTTAATTTTATAAATCATCCAACAAGTGGTATTAAATGGTATTGGTATTAATTTAATTTTTTTATTTTAGAATTGGTGATATAAGGAGTGAAATTACTTCATGTGTTATCAATGCTCTACCAATAAAACTAATGTATAGAAGCATGGTTGACTTTTATAGCTGTAACAATATGGTAATGTATCTCTGCTGGTTATTTATCGAGTTAAATATGATCACAACTTAATCTATTGTGTATATTTTCTGTTGCCAGGAAGCTGAAACTCACTCAAGGAGGGAGAGCTCTTTCCGGGAAAGTACATTGTCATCTCCCTCCGTCAATTGTGTCTCACCTACCTCCCATTATGCTCAGCACACATCACAGATGGTATTTAAACATAAAATCAAAAAATATTTTTTATGTGACTTAAATTAACAATGAACCTTTTATGTCAATAGAATCACCAAGAAGGGAGGGATGCAGGGTTGTTAGGTGAAGCATCCAATGGAGATTTGGCTGAGGCTGATCAGTCTCATCACACCCTAAACAATGTTGATGGTGATGATGATTCAGAAGCCGATAGAGACTGCTCAACTGAGGGGCCACTGTCAGCACCTGCATCAGATTCAGCCTCGACCCTGCTCCATGTGCACGTGTTTCAACTTGGCGGCGCATCAGGAGCTCCAGAAATGGAGATAGAGGGGGTGGGGCCACATCTAGAGGATGGAGAGGCATGTGCAGGAGCTGATAGGAATAGTTACAGGGTGAGCTTTGCTTTTATGGAATGGTCATATTGTTTTATTTTGTTTTTTAACTCTTTTTTTTTTTTTCTCTCAGAATAACCCTATTGGTGCAGTGGGAGGTGTTGGACTAAGCACAGTTTCAAAAAATGGGCTGGAGGAGGTAAGTGGGAGTGCAAAAAAGTTCTGTGTAACTAAAATATTTATGATCATAATTGTGTTTGTGTCTTTCAGGCTGCTGAGCCATGGACGGTGGAGCAGACCCACAACAGAGGTTGTGATCAAGAAAACGATCCGGATCAAGAAAGGGAACAAGGTTTAGACCGCGTTCCTACTAGACTTGCATGCGATAGTGACAGGGATCAAGAAAATGGAGAAAAACATAGAGCACACCATCTGCCCATGCCTCCTAATGGTGGGTTCATAAGAAAACTAGCAAATGTTTAAGTTAGTTCAAACTTAACTTAAAACCCCTATTTTGCCTTGTTGCAGATCCTTCATGAGCATCATAGGATTCAGCGTCAGGAGTGGCTGATTTTTTTAACTTCACATTGACAGTTTTCCAAATATAGTTTTAATTATGACTGCCTTTAAGACAAGTGGTTACTAATTTATACCCACATTTTATTTTATAGCTCCTCTTCTAAAACTGTTTTTAAGTTTTAATCTTTAAGAGATTATCTTAACAATTGGTGAGAGGCCATCAAATAATTGTTTGTTTTATTTTAAGGAAGTCTTTCCATGGCTTGCACAATTGTAAGTTCCATTCAATTAGTAAAGTTGTACACTCTTAAAATTTGTGATATTCGTTAATTTATAGATAAGATTTCTACTTCAAATAGATGTGTTTGTCTTGTTTTATTAGTTTTCTACTTCATCACAAAATTTTATGTCCTCTTGATTCCCTATGCAAGCTAAATGTGAATTTTTAAAAAAATTAATAAAAACTAATTAAAAATTAAGATGTTTTATTGATTGATCCCGTCTTCAAAGAGTTCCATGGAATCGAGTGGGGTCTCCAGAACAAGGAGTCGGCAACGATAATCGTCCTCGACCCTCGACTCACGCTGACACGCCATTTCGGTAAAAACGAGCAAGAAAAATGATCGCCGCCATTACTGCAACGTCAACATGAACACCGTCTTCCTCGCGAAGGCCGTTCGACGCACTAATGAGCGAAGCAGAGCGAAGGCGGTAGGATGAGGGTGATTCCGAACAGTGCTTTGTTTTCGTCGCCCTGTCTCTCTCGCACTTGCGACCGTGGAGCTTCCCGTTCCATGCAGGTGCGAGAGAGAGAGAGACGGAGCGGAGATAAGTTCTGTTTGGAATCGGCCTGCTGGCCCGCCCATTGTTGTCGGAAACAACCTCTGCCCAGTTGGTCCACTCCGGGCTTCAAGAAGAAACAACGGGGTAAATCCCGCGCAAAGGCCCACCGGGAAAGGCGTCTCCGGGACACACGTCACAAGCATGCATGTCTGCCTCCTCTCCGCCCGCCCTCCAGCCGGCACCAGCGTTGACCCAGCCTCCACCGAGGCGGCCGACGGGGGGCGCGGGTTGGGGTCGGTGCATTGTGCTGCAGCATCCCCTTCTCGGTGGCCGAGGCCGGGCCGGGTAGGGCCGGGGGGTGCATACCCCGAAGGGCCTGCAAGCGACGGCCATGGGAGGGGCTCGGCTTGGCTGCGCTGCTGCACTATCGGCTGCACGGCCCGCCCCGCCACTGCATTTAGGCCCCGTGCCGGTCGGTCGGGTCGGTCCCCCGAATGCCGGGCTGGGCCTGGTGGCCGGGCAGGGAAGGGAAGGGCCGTAGGCCGTGCCGCCGTACCGCGGCAGCCTACCGCAGGCAGCCTGAGCCCCGGCCGGCCGCCCCGCCGCGCCCCAGGCCCCCGCGCCCCGCGCCCCGCCCCGGGCCCGGCCGGCACCGGCACGACACTCAGTGTACGGCGTGCCCGGCATGGCATCGCCTCGCCTCGCGGTGGAGACGAGACTGAGGCCTGAGAGACACAGAGGTTAGGTTAGTCGTGCTCGAGACATCGCGGCGTGCACATCGCGGCCTTCCTTCGGCTCCCCTCCTAATCGCGGAGGCCCCGCCGCGCCCCACCGCGCCCCATCAGTGCTTCGGAGAACGCCGCCGGATGGACCCCGCCACGCACTCCGAGCCGCCTTCATCAGGGGGGTCGCCGCGATGACACGGAGTGTGTGAAAGTGCCCCAAAAGTGCGCGACTGCGCCAGTGCGTGAGGGGGAAGTCCCAGTCCCGCGGGGGCTGACCGCACTCCGTGCCGCACGCCGGCCGGCCGCTGCGAGGCGTCAAAGTGTCGACCGGACTTGTTGCTGGCGGAACCGGCGAGCCCGCCGTCACCATGGCGTTGCCGGCGTTGCACAGGTGAGTCGTGAGTCGATGCACGCAGAGCGACGCAGAGCGACGGGTGGGAGGGGCGCACTGACTGCTACTTTTGTCAATGGGCGAGGGCCTTGAGTACTGCACCCGAAATTTCACACTGCCTGGCCGAACCAGCGGCTGGTGCGCTCGCGGCTCCAGCGGCTCCAGCGGCTCCAGCCCCGCGGCGGAGAGTGGGTGCCGGGTGCGATGTGGTGGGTGTGGGGAAGCGGGGTGGTGACAGCGAGCTGGGGCATGCAGGCATGCGCATCGCGCCTCCATCTGGGAACCGCATCGCCCCAATCACCTCACTGCGCTGCACGGTGGTAATGAAAAAGTTAGACGAGTGACGCACGAGCACCTTGTGGTGTAGTGGTGTGGCGCGGCGCGCACTAAGTGCTGCAGGCTGCAGCAGCGCGGGGCTCGTCAACAGCCCCGGCATGGCCTGCCACCGACCACCGGGCCGGCGATCACGGCCCCCTGCTTATCAACGACCATCACGACCACGCAGTGCACGCAGCCCGCGATGTTATCCGACGCGATATCTCGGAGGTGACAGTCTGACAGTGGCGTGCTTCATTGGAGGGAGGAAGCGGACGGCCAGCGGGCCTAGACCGAGGGGCCCTCGCGTCGTGTCTCGCGTCCACGGCGTCCACCTCCTGCAGGCGGCCACATCCTGCCCATCCATGTCACACGCCGACTCATTTCGGCCCCGCGTTTCGTCTCTGTCTCTGTCGCACTCATGGAGCGTGCCGTTAGTGCGAGAGAGACAGAGCGACTCATCGACGCTCTGGGCTCGCTCGGCTGGGGGTGGTCGCACAGTTCGGGGTGAGATGTGAGGAGGAGACGGTCGAGGACGCAGGGCGTACCGTCCTCTCCCACTTCGCGTTGCCCTGCTCGACTAAGTCCCGCCATCGCCCGCCGCCCTCCTGCAGCTGCCGACAGGCCGACAGGCACGGCGACAGGCCACCGCCGTCTGGATATCAATAATTATATTCCCGGCGCGTGGCGTGGCGGCGTGGCGTGTTGGAAGTGGCCGCCGCGGGGAGTGCATTGCATTGCAGGCGCGTCACGTCGCTCCGCCCCGCCCCGCCCCGCCACCGCATCCGACGGCCCGTCTGGTATCGCACGGCACGCGACGCATGAACGGCACCGCATTAAAAAGTGAAAACTGCGGACACCTTTCCCCGGGATGCACCGCCACACTGGCGGCCGGGCCCCACCGTTTGTGAATGGCCGAATGGCCGAATCCGAATGGGCCATTCGTTGACGGCCGCTAGCAACCAGTAGACCGGGCCAACCCGGCCAGCCCGGCCAGCCCCAGCCCGGGCCGACCGTATAAACCGCGTTTACGTTTTCATCCTGACGTAAGCACGCCTCGAGTCGAGCGAGACAGACAGCGAGACCGACGACGTCCCGCCGCGGCCTTCGGGGTATACTACAAAAACGTTTACAGCTACAGCCCGGCGGCGGCGGCAGTCATTTTCGCGTGCGTGCGTGTGTGTGTGTTTACCTTACGAGCCGTGGGCAGCCCAGTGACACCACGGCGACACGGTGACACGGGGCGTGAGCGGCCACAGTGGCCACGCGTCTGCGTGACACGCCCTCGTCACGCGTGTCAGGTCGTCACACCGTGACACCGGCCGCGCCGCGTGCCGTGCGTACCGTACAGGACGGGGCACTGCAAGGCGTGCGCGGTGCGCGGCGCGGCCTGGACGGCTGGACCCCGCGACTGCATCGGATATGCGCGGCGTGCACGCTCGTTTCCTGCTGCAGCTGGTGGTGGTGGTGTTGGTGCTGCTTGCCGAGAGGCATGGCGGGCATGGCCAGTGTCGATTGAGGTGAGGAGCACCGTGAGAACGCCAACGCCGCCACCACCCCGCCGCGCCGCGCCGCGACGCAGACGCCCGTCCCGTCCATATCGCAGAGTGCTCCAACAAGGCCGCCAGTGTGGCCAGCAACTTCTTTGGTCTGTCTCCCCGCCCGTCCCTCCGTCGGGTGCGCCTCGCGCCTCGCCATCATGGGCATGAATGCGCCTTCACGGAAGGACACTTTGCGGCCGCCCTTCCCTTATCTCGCGGCACTGGCGGCGGCCACACGGATCACAAACTTTCCAGTTCAAACTGCGGGACATGCCATTTCGGGTCAGGGCGACAAACGACGGAACGCCATCAATCTCAACCCAGCCCAACCCAGTCAACCCAACCATTGAGGCATCGAGGCGCGGTGCAGTGTCGTGGCGTGCTTGGCGTCTTCGCGCACGGCCGCGATGGGATGGGTTGGGCATTCCCTCGGCGGGCCGGGCAGGCCGGCCGGGTTGGCCCTTATCGCCAGCAGGGCGTGGTTGGCCTGGCCGGGCCCGACTGCTTGGCCGCGGTGGGGGATCCCGATAAGCCGATAGCGGCCGCAAGCGGTGACGGCGCTTTGTCGCAAGGCAGCAGTCTCATTCCGAAAGTCGTTCTCGTCGCGCTGTCTCCCTCGCTCTCGTGGGGCGCCCCGCGTAGGTGCGAGAGGGACGGCGCGACGAGGGCGACTCTCGGCATCGGTCTACAGGCAAGCCTCCGAGCTGCATGGGCGGGGCGTGCTGGCCGTCCGTCCACGCCGAGCCGAGACTTGTAGTGTAGGGCCGGAAGAGGCTCGGTTCGGCCCCGCTGCCAAACTCGAAAATGAATCACAGCGCAAAGCGCAAAAGTGGGTCGCCTGTCTTGGCCGTCTTGGCGCGTGCTTTGGGCTTCGGTACTTCGGTCCGACCGGCTGGGCTGATTGTGGCCCGATGGGACAGGCCAGGCCTCGCGGCCTGTCCGCCGGTCGCGGCTTGCGCTAGAGCTTGCCCGGGCCTGTGGGTCTGCCGCCTGGCCAGCCAGCGCGCTGCTCGGTCAGCCAAAGTTCACTTCGCACTGCTCTTCGCAAGGCCGCGGGCCCGGCCGGCGCAGCGCGTGGCGTGGCGCGCCGTGGCGTCGCGTGCACGGCCATGGGCGCCTTCTCGTCCTCCTTTTCGTCTTCCGCCCGAAATCTGGGAAAGGACTCCTCCTGCAGGGTTTCCAGGATAACACACACGTCGCCCGAAAAAACTAATTATTTCCTGGCCGTCCTTGTCGCTGGAGCGCTGGAGCTGACGTTGATCCGAGCTCGTTGTAATCCGCCCCCCCCCCCTTCCGCCGTCGTCCACGTCCACGTCGAGGTGCTCGTCGAGGTGCATGGGGATGGATTGGAAGGATCCCCGCCACCCGCGGCGCTTAATCCGCAGGAAATCACGTCTTGTCCGACGCGGGACGACGCGGGGCGACGCGGGACGCGGCCCGTGCCGTGTCACCGCCAGGCCGCTAGACGCGAGACGCTAGACGAGACAGGCTCGCCACCAACAACAACATCCTCCCCGTCACTCTCACTCACAACGAGGCGATCCCGGCCCTGCGGCCTGCCCGCCCGGCTCTGTTTTTCAATCGTCCGTGATTTTCCCCCCGATCGAGAGCAGCGGCAGCGAGTGTGGCGCGGCTGGCGGGGCTCCACGGTGGCGGTGCCTGCGGCTTGCTTGAGGTGGGCAAGGTCGGCCCGAGCGCCCCATCGGCCACGGCGGCCACCTTAGGCTAGGCGCGTCCTCGTCGTGATAACGCCGCCCGCCACGCCGCCAGGCCCATAGAGTGCCCCGTCGCCCCGCCCATTTACTCGGCCCGGGTGACCCGGACAAGAGAGGCATTTACCGGTGGAGGTGATAGTCGACGGGCGCCGCGGCGGCGACTTGGACGGACTTGGCGCAGGTAGCAGGCCAGCCAGGCGCCGGGCTGAGTGCCGTGTAATGGATTAACGCACGAGCCCGTCTCTCTCGCACTCCTCCGCGTCGCGCCGTGAGTGCGAGAGAGGCAGAGCGACGAAAGCCCGGCCAGTGCGGTGCGGCGCGGTGCGGTGTTCCTCTCGAGATAAACACTCCCCGGCACGCGCACCGCGCCGCCCGGCCGCCCGGCCCGATCGCGGCAAATCCCCGCCGGCCGAAGCGAAACGCCTCCGATGACGGGGCGAGCTGCACCTGCACTCCGACTCCAAAGGCGGGAATGTTCCCACCCCTAATTGGCTGGCCGTGACTTTGTATTGACACCGGGCCAATGGAAAGGCGGTGAAGTAATTGCCGTGAGCCTTACCGCCTTTTCGCAGTGTGGCTGACTGGAGCGGCGCGCCCAGCGACGTACTCCAGCGACTGGACTGGAGTCCGGCCTGGAGTCCGGCCGTCAAGAGACAAGGCTCCAGTGACAGGTGGCAGTGGCGTGGCGCACGTGCCTCGGGGCCGCGCGTCGTCGTTTTCCAGTTCTCCAGAAAGAGACCTCGCTCCGTTTTGGACGGTGGCGCGCGCCGCGCCGCGCCGCTCTTGACCTACGCCAAGTCCGTGAACCGGCCACGCGGCGGAGCGCTGCGCGCGCGTTCCGTGCGACTTCGGTCTGCTACAACGCCGTGCTCGCGCCAGCGGGCCAGCCAGCCCGGTGGTCGGTGGGTCGGCGGGTCGGCGTGTCGAAACGCACGGTGGGCCACGGCTGGCCACGGCGAGGCATTCCAAGCTTTGCCAAGGCGGATACCGCCCGCCGTCGCCGGTCCGTTCCGTTCCGGGAATTCCCCGCGATCATCCCGCAGACATCGGCGGGCAGGGAAGGCCCTGGAGGCCCTGCCGGCGCTGCTGGAAGCCGCTGGAAGCCGCTGGACGGCCGGTGCTGCAGTCCGGTGCAACTTGTGAAGTTTATGCCGAAGGAAAGTCGTCGATTTGCTCCGATTAGAAAACGCACACGACTCTTTAACTGTCAGGAGGCTGTCAGCGCGGAGCGGCTCCGGTATATACTTGTTTAACGACGACCACGACATTGTGTGTGTGTGTGTGTGTGTGTGCGCGCGCGCGCGCGCCAAGACAGGACGCAGGACGCGGGGTAGGAGTCGCTGTGCTGCGCCGTGGCCCCAACGTGGGAACTGGCACCATTGTGCTGCTGACCCGCGCCATCATCTTGAGCAAACTTAACGCGCGCGCG